TCTCATTTTCAATACCAACCATCCTAGACACAATGCAAATAGCTCTGCTAAATTTTGGAGCTCTACGTCAAATAATGTGGGCTGTATCGTGATTTCAACAGACAGACAGACAGACAGACAGACGGACAGACAGACAGACGGACATCGTTAAATCGACTTAGAATTTTATGCTGATTATGAATATATATACTTTATGGGGTCTAAAACGAATATTTAGGGATGTTACAAACGGAATGACAAAGTTAATATACCCTCCTTTCCAAGGTGGAGGGTATAAAAAAAACTATAACCAAGTTCAGACTGCTGTCGTTTCTAAGCCACTCGTCCGACAGCTGTTAAAATAATTCCAGTGACAGCTCATTATATTGTTTACAAGCCTACTAAAGCATTTTGGTGAGAACTTTCCAGAAAAAGTTATTCGTGATGGAATTCAATTCAAGCGTGATAGTGTGTTTTATTCGTATTTGGCTGAAAACCACAAGTGGCTATCGTTACAGCTCTTCAGCATTTAAATGTGAATAACGACGTCAAGGAAGTGGAAAAGGACGGAAGAAAACAACAACATTAGCCGGAATGGTTCGAAAAGTAAAGAATCGACTTCATCGAATTGCCGCGTCGCAGTGGCCGAAAAATAGCTCGTGAGCTGAACATATCGCAATATTCCATTCGGCAAATATTAAAAAATGAGCTCAGAGTAATGCCATTGAAATTCCAAAAAGTACAAGAACTTACACCGCAACAGAAAGAAAATTGACTCAAAAGAGGTAAAGAGTTGCTTAGCTTGGCCGAAAATGGTGAACTGCCGAATTTGGCTTTCTCCCTCTCCGATGAGAAAACATTCGTTGTCCAGCAGTTTGTAAACAAACAAAATGATCGTGTTTACTTGCCAAAGAGATCAGCTGAAAATGTGCACCTTCGGTTGGCCACTAAAACTCAAGTGCCGGCCAGGGTGATGGTGTGGGCCGCCATTACAGCCGATGGTCGCTCTCCGCTCGTATTATCGTCATAATAAATGAATAAATGTGGCATCAGAATAAATGCCGAATATTATTGCGAAAATATTCTGGGTGTACTAAAGCCTTGGGCAAGCAAGCATTTTGGCCGCAGACTTTGGGCATTCCAACAGGACTCAGCACCATCGCACTCAGCACGCCACCACCGCCCAAGAATGGTAACAAAATGAGGTTCCTCGTTTCATTTCTAGCGCACAATGACCACCAAAATCTCCGGATACCAATCCGTTGGACTATTGTGTCTGGAGTATTTTGGAAAGCAAAGTTGGCACTAAAAAATACCAAAGTGTCGATCACATCAAGTAAGCGCTTCGCATTTTTTTGATGTTTTTGGTTATTCAAAATGTTGGCCCTTTGTTGGGGAGGTACCAGAAGGAGTGAGCCGATATCTAGCATATTCACAACAGATCTTGTGTTGATAAAAAAAATTTGAGGCGTGACGAGTTTAAAGGGAATCGGAGGCTCATTTCGCATTTTAGGAGTTTCATGGGTATAATTTTGACTCTTTGTGGGGGATGTATCGGAAGGAGTGAACCGATACATCCCATCTTCGCACCGGATATAGTGTTAATAAAAATATTGAGATGTATGAAATTTAAAGACAATTGGACCCTTAGTTTACATTTTATAACAGTTATACTTACTCCCAATGTTGACCCTTTGTGGGGGAGGTACCAGAAGATGTGAACTGATATAACCTATTTTCGCATCAGATCTTGTGTTGATAGAAGGATTGGGGTATGCGGAATTTGAAGACAATCGGATGTTTGTTTCGCCTTTTATAAGAGCTATAATTATTCAAAATATTGACTCTTTGTGGGGGAGTTAACAGAAGAAGTGATCCGATATCTTCCAACTTCCCTGCAAATCTTGGGATAGTGGAAATATTGAGATGTTAGAAATTTGAGAAGAATTGGATGTTTATTTCAAATTTTATAAGAGTTATAATTATTCAAAATTTTGACCCTTTTTCAGTGAGGTACTTGATGTAGTAGATTGATATTGTCTATTTTCGCACCCGATCTATGTTTGACAATAATATTACGATGTACAAAGTTCAGATCAAACCGAATACTCCCTTCGAGTGTCATCATGCGCACCAGGCAACCAGACGGACCGACGGATGGACATCCCTAGATCGACTCCAAATGACCTGAAACGGATTTGGTCCAAAGAGACCTATGGTCTAAAACCATTTTTTTTTTTTTTTCAATGAGGCTCGTTTTGTCCGTATCAAATGATATGTAGCCTCTGTAGCAATATAACTGAGGGTGTAAAAACTGACATTCATGTCTGGTCTCCACATAACGGTACCAACTACCCTAGGGTATTTTGAAGATTCCAAATGCAATATCCGATCGAATTTGTAATATTATGCAGTTTCATGTGGCATTTCTTTTCGCCAAAAATTTGAATTATTTCCGATAGTTAAGATTATTTTATTTCCTATCATCAAAAAGGCTAATTTTGGTTGAAGCGGGATATTTTAGATATTCGTAACTTACCCCGTTTACCAGTTAATTACACACAATTTTTTAAACGATGAACAAAAAATACTCTTCCACGTCTATCAATCACACAAACAAAACTTAACTGAAATTGTATATTAGTCGGACCTCTGACTCAATCTACAAATGCAACAACTGCAAGAACATATTTTGAGACAAGCGTGGTAAAAAAAGATTACATAGTTAAATTGACGAATCATTACATGTGACGAAGCATTATTCCCAATTCTGTGGCCAAGATAACTTTTGACATTTTTATCATATGAACGAAGCATGAATATGACGTATTTTTCAATATTTCCTTAGCTGATATTCTTTAAAAAAAATGTATATAAGAATCCAAGATTAGAGCTAGAAAATATTCAAGTCAACGAGTAAATCTAAAAAAACTTTTAAACAAAAAGTATAATTTTTATACCTTCCACCTCTGTCCGCCTGTTTTAACCACGATATCGTATATCCACCATATAACGGTAAAATTTCGTATTTAGAATTCGTAATGGATACTATAGCCTATGACAGAAAATTGACTATGTAGGCCCACGTCTTCGTATAGCCCCCATAAAACGGTATCTCCCGATATTTGAAGTTTATAATGGATACTACAGCCTATGACAGAAAAATGTCTGCGCAGATGCACGTTTTGGTACAGCTACATTATTCACTGATTTTTTTTTTAAAGTTTCGCATTTGAATATTGTTTTGGCTTATAACAAAAGTTGCCGTTGTCATATAGACTAATATAACGACGACATTCGGTATTTTTAATATTTTAACAGAATTTTCAACGAATTTATAAAATAAATATTCCCGGTTTTTTTGAAAATTTTGGTAGATTTTACTCAAATTTTAAAATCTATTTCACGCTCTAAAAAATTATCCTAATTATTAGGCTTACTGTTCTGTTGCTGTTCTAAACTCTCGTCAATTCGCCTGTAATTTTAACCTGTAGATCAACGGAAAGTCAGGAAAATATTCTGTTTTTTGTCCATTTCAACCTCCAAATATTTTGCAATAGGATCGGACCATTATTGCGACTTGTAGCGTGATTACAAATTAACATGGAAAGAAGGACGAACACACATAGGTAGGACTCATCTGGAAGATTGAAAAATATTTAAAAAATCCACGTTTATGTCTTGGATGTTGGTTGAAAAGATTTATTTAAAAAATTAAAAAAAAAAAAATATTTAAAAAATCCACGTTTATGGCTTGAATGTTTGTTGAGAAAAAATATTTAAAAAATCCCAAAAAAAAATATTTAAAAATCCACGTTTATGGCTTGGATGTTGGTTGAAAAAATTTATTTAAAAAATTTATTGAAAAAATTATTTAAAAAATATACATTATTTAAAAAAATCCAAAAAATAAAGATTCCACGTTTATGAATTGGATGTTGTTTGAAAAAAATTATTTAAAAATCCAAAAAAAAATGTAAAAACTCCATGTTTATGGCTTGGATGTTGGTTGAAAAAATGTATTTAAGAAATCCAAAAAAAAAAAATATATATCCAATACAAAAAAAAAAAAAAAAATAAATAAAAAATCCATGTTTATGGCTTGGATGATGGTTGAAAATTGTATTTGAAAATCCTAAAAAAAATATTTAAAAAATCCACGTTTATGGGTTGGATGTTTGTTGAAAAAAATTATTTAAGAAATCAAAAAAAAAAAAAATATTTAAAAATCCAAGTTTATGGCTTGGATGTTGGTTGAAAAAAAATATTTAAAAAATCCCAAAAAAAAATATTTAAAAATCCACGTTTATGGCTTGGATGTTGGTTGAAAAAATTTATTTAAAAAATCCACGTTTATGGCTTGGATGTTGGTTGAAAAAATTTATTTAAAAAATCCACGTTTATGGCTTGGATGTTGGTTGAAAAAATTTATTTAAAAAATCCACGTTTATGGCTATTGAAAATATTTTTCAAATTCCAAAATTTAAATATTTTCCACCTTGTAAAAATAATTTTGAAAATTCTTCGTTTTGTGTTTTAAATCATTGAATTAATATTTAGTGGTAAATTAGCCACCAACGACGATTATGTGAGATGTGCTGGGGTTCGAATGTCATTACGCTTCATAAATTAGAGTTAATAGTTCATTGCTTTGACATACGTACGCTTATGCTCTGTGTCGCTAGTTCAGGGCTCAAAAATACACTACAATTCATAGCTGGCCTCAGGTTCAGCATTCGTTTAAATCTAATTCTATCTAAACGACACGAGAGATGTAATCTATTCAAATACTGTGACAAAGCTGGAGTTTTTTTTCGAAATAATATTTAGTTACGAATTTAGAGTGGTGGAGTTAAGACGGTGCTGCTAGTCAAAAGAAAATATTGAATGTCACGTAAGAAATAAAAAAATAAAATTTAAAATTATTTTTTGAAAAATTTTGGTTTTTAGAAAATCCTTTCAATAGAGAAATTCAATATTTAAATTTCTCAAATTTTTATTTTTTTAAAAATCCCTTTAGAATGCAGTTTCCAAACTTCCTCCTCAGCACCTGTCTTCTACTTGCCTTTTTTGCCGTCATCGAAGCCTTCCACGACAAAGACGTGGATAGGTTGCTAATTAAATCTGGCATACGTAAGGGCAAATTCGATCTGAAAGAAGCTGAAGAGGGCAAGCAGTTGGTAAGCAATTTGGATGATGGCCTGCGGGGCTTAATTGTTCTAATACGCAGAGGTTTCCTCAAATATTCCGACAAGAAATCCTATCACTTATATCTCAACAATTGGAAGAGAGGTAAAATTCAAATACCAAGTCAGCGAGAAGATTTCCCATGTCCCTTGAATAATACCAGATCCGTGCAGAGGCCAATCTCGGTCCACCAACTTAGGCCCGGGGACATTGATGTCATAGCAGCCATTGGAGATTCCTTGTCGGCGGGAAATGGTATCTATTCGAAAACGTTTTTAAATTTGGCCGCCGAATTTCGTGGCATGGCCTTTTCGGGTGGCGGAATGGCCAATTGGAGAACTGTGCTGACTCTGCCAAATATTTTGAAAATTTTCAATCCCAATTTGTATGGTTTTGCGACGGACAATGTTTTGGTAAAGGACAAGAAATCTTATTTCAATATTGCCGAACCCATGATAATGTCGCGGGATTTGGTATATCAGGTGCAGCTCTTGATAGAACGTCTTAAAGGTGATCCCAAGGTGGATATGAAAAACGATTGGAAGCTGTTGACAATTTTTGTGGGCAGCTTGGATCTGTGTTTCGATTTATGTCACAGCAAACATTTGTGGGATAAATTGCGGCAACATGAAATTGATTTAATTGATGCCTTTACCTTGCTGCGGGACAATGTTCCCCGCCTATTGGTGAATCTACTGCCTGCTCCCAACATGGTCACGACGCTGGGCCAAATGCGTAATGTCCCACTGCAGTGTAAAGCTGTTCACCTCTTCGGCTGCCGTTGTGTCTTTAGTGCCGCTCACAATGACACCTCATTGCGGGTGGCTTCGGAATATTTCACCCGATGGCAAGCCATTGATGAATATGTCGCCTCACTGCCTGCCTTTCAAACCGATGACTTTGCCGTCCTCTATCAGCCGTTTATGGCAAATGCAATGCTGCCCCTCCTACCGAACGGGGATGTGGATTTGCGTTTTTTCTCCAGCGATTGTTTCCATTTCAGTCAATTGGGCCACGCCGCTGTGGCCAATGCTCTGTGGAATAATATGCTACAGATGCCAGGGCAGAAAGATGAACAGATTCGAGAGCCCTTTCAGTGGTTCGAATGTCCCAGTGTACAGCGTCCATATATTGCAACATTAAGAAATAGTATTTCGGGATATTTTTAATATTCGGAAATTTTAAGGTTCGATATATAATAGGTTTTAGGTTATAATGTGATATTTTATAGTTTTTTTAATTCATTTTTTTATATTTTTCAAAAAAATTATAGTCAATAAATTCTTATAATTGTTTTTGTTTTTCCAAAATAAATTTGGATTTTTGAATAATATTTTTTCAAGGACCAAATAAACGTGGATTTTTTAAAGAATATTTTTTCAAGGACTAAATAAACGTGGATTTCTTGAAGAATATTTTTTCAAGGACTAAATAAACGTGGATTTCTTGAAGAATATTTTTTCAAGGACCAACAGGGGCGTGGAGTTTTTAAAAAAAAGCTTTTTTTTAAGGATCAATTAAACGTGTTTTTTTTTTAATATTTTTCATGGACCAAATAAACGTGGATTTTTAAAAAAATATTTTTTTAAGGACTAATTAAATGTGGATTTTTTTTAAAAAAATATTTTTTCAAGGACCAATTAAACGTGGATTTGTTTTAAAAAAATATTTTTTCAAGGACCAATTAAAATAATTTTCCAAGGTCCTCTTAAACGTGGATTTTTTTAAAAATAATTTTTCAAGGTCCTCTTAAACGTGGATTTTTTAAAGAATATTTTTTCAAGGACCAATTAAACGTGGTTTTTTTAAGAAAATATTTTTTCAAGGACCAATTAAACGTGGTTTTTTTAAGAAAATATTTTTTCAAGGACCAATTAAACGTGGATTTTTTAAGAAAATATTTTTTCAAAGACCAATTAAACGTTGATTTTTTTAAGAAGATATTTTTTCAATTCATTTTTCAATTCATTTTTTTATATTTTTCAATAAAATTATAGTCAATAAATTCTTAGAATTGTTTTTGTTTTTCCAAAAATAAATTTGGATTTTTGAAGAATATTTTTAAGGACAAATTAAAAGTGGATTTTTAAAAGAATATTTTTTCAAGGACCAATTAAACGTTGATTTAAAAAAAAAATAATTTTTCAAGGTCCATTTAAACGTGGATTTAAAAAAAAATAATTTTTAAAGGACCAATTAAACGCGGATTTGTTAAAAAAATAATTTTTCGAGGACTAATTAAACGTGGATTTTTAAAAAAAATATTTTTCAAGGACCAATTAAACGTAGATTTTTTAAAAAAGTAATTTTTCAAGGACCAGTTACACGTGATTTTTTTTAAAAAAATATTTTTTCAAGTACCAATTAAACGTGGAGCTTTTTAAAAAAATATTTTTTCGAGGTCCAACTAAACGTGGATTTTTTAAAAATATAATTTTTCAAGGTCCAATTAAACGTGGATTTTTAAAAAAATAACTTTTCAAGGTCCGAATAAACGTGGATTTTTTAAAACAATAATTTTTCAAGGTCCAATTAAACGTAGATTTATTAAAAAAAATAATTTTTCAAGGACCAATTAAACGTGGATTTAAAAAAAAATAATTTTTCAGGGACCAATTAAACCTGGATTTTTTGAAAAATAATTTTTCAAGGACCAATTAAACCTGGATTTTTTGAAAAATAATTTTTCAAGGACCAATTAAACCTGGATTTTTTGAAAAATAATTTTTCAAGGACCAATAAAACGTGGATTTTTATAAAAAATAATTTTTTAAGGTCCAATTAAACGTGGATTTTTTAAAAAAATAATTTCAAAGGAATTTGACATGGGTTCAAATGTGGATTTCTATTTTGGATTTCAATTTTCTTTATTTATAATAGCTTTTGCTCATTCAATATCTTTGCCCCAAATCTCCATTTTCCTTCTAAAACTAATGTACATCTCCCATCAATCACATCCCATGCCCCACAAAGTTTTAATTAAATTTAATCTTTATTTAATTTTTCGATGATTTTATTAGGAAATTTTGCAACCATTAAATATGTAATCTCAAACTATGAGAATATTGTTCATCGTTCCTCGGGGGGCAAAACTGAGGTGGTTTTGCCACTCCGCAACTAACTTGGCAAATTTACTCTGGCCACAAGAAACTTAATAGAAAGTTTAAGTTTTGCAGAATATCAATTAATATTTATACTTCAATTAATTTCTATGGCAGCGGCAGGAGCTATTTGTGAGATAAAAGACTAAAGATCTGCTTTACCCTGGAAATCGTAGCCTTACACACACTGTAGGCTGTTGATGGCTAGAAAAGTGTTAAGGAAAATCATAGAGGTGGTTGGAAGGAGGGTTCAAATCACTTTAGGTATATCCTCCGTATGGGATAAGAAGGAGAATATGTTTTGTATATTCTATTGATACTTTTGTTACTTTATTGCCACTTCTCTAGCCAACCAGCCATGGGCCATCATCAGTCCCATCAGCATGTTCATCGACACAAGGAGCAATAGCAGGCAATGAAGGAGAGCACGAATCAATGATGCTATGCATGGAAAATGTTAATAATTTGTAGCAAGTCTATTGTTTGCCCAAGATAAGAAGTCAATTTTAAAATATGAACATATTGTGTCAAAACCGGAAGTTTGCCACTAGACAAGGAGCATATGCTTCTGCCGCTGCTGCTCCTTAGGATGGATCCTGTTCATGAAACAACAAAGGGGTTAACTTGGTAAATACACATAAATGGTAGACAGAATATTCCGACATTATGCACATGCCAATGTGTGCGCTTTGTGTTTGCTTAAAAGACGTAGAAGAACAGGACTAAAGAAAAATCTTACACCTCTGCAGCAGCACAGACATAATACAGGCGTCAAGCATATCAATAGCATCAAATGCACACCTTTTGCCAAACAAGATTGGCAGTCATGTTCCGCAAAACTAAATATATTTTGTTAGAGACTAAGGAGGAAAATTTAATTTTCGAAAACATCTGACAGACAGGTTTTTGGGGAAATCAAGGGACGTGGGGAGGGAATTGAATTCAAAATATAAATTTACATTTTAAGGCAAAATTACTTGAAATTTAAAAAAATACTTCAGGAACAACAAAACTATATTTGAAAGGATACTTTTTTCTCAAGGACAATAAACGTATATTTTTTAAATAAATATTTTTCAAGGACCAACAATAAACATGGATTTTTTAAAGAATATTTTTTCAAGGATATAAATAAACGTGGATTTTTTAAAGAATATTTTTTCAAGAATATAAATAAACGTGGATTTTTTAAAGAATATTTTTTCAACGATATAAATAAACGTGGATTTTTTAAAGAATATTTTTTCAACGATATAAATAAACGTGGATTTTTTAAAGAATATTTTTTCAACGATATAAATAAACGTGGATTTTTTAAAGAATATTTTTTCAAGGATATAAATAAACGTGTATTTTTTAAAGAATATTTTTTCAAGGATATAAATAAACGTGGATTTTTTAAAGAATATTTTTTCAAGGACCAATAATAAACGTGGATTTTTTAAAGAATATTTTTTCAAGGACCAATAATAAACGTGGATTTTTTAAAGAATATTTTTTCAAGGACCAATAATAAACGTGGATTTTTTAAAGAATATTTTTTCAAGGACCAATAATAAACGTGGATTTTTTAAAGAATATTTTTTCAAGGACCAATAATAAACGTGGATTTTTTAAAGAATATTTTTTCAAGGACCAATAATAAACGTGGATTTTTTAAAGAATATTTTTTCAAGGACCAATAATAAACGTGGATTTTTTAAAGAATATTTTTTCAAGGACCAATAATAAACGTGGATTTTTTAAAGAATATTTTTTTAAAGGTATAAATAAACGAGGATTTTTAAAGAATATTTTTTCAAGGATATAAATAAACGTGGATTTGTTAAAGAATATTTTTTCAAGGACCGTCCCAGATTTTTTTGGTAGTTCATTGACAACTCTTACCAGGAACGTGGATTTTTTAAAAAATATTTTTCAAAGACCGTCCCAAATTTTATTGGTAGTTCATTGACTACAGTTACCAGGAACGTGGATTTTTTAAAAAATATTTTTGTCAAGGACCGTCCCAAATTTTTTTGGTAGTTCATTGACTACAGTTACCAGGAACGTGGATTTTTTAAAAAATATTTTTGTCAAGGACCGTCCCAATTTTTTTTTTTTTTTTTTTTTTTGTAGTTCATTGACTACACTTACCAGGAACATAAAGTTTTTAAAAATGTTTTTGTCAAGGACCTTCCTAGATTTTTTGTAGTTAATAGGCTTCTCTTCCTCCGAAACAAACGTGGATGTTTTTAAATAATATTTTTGTCAAGGAAAATCCAAGATTTTTTTTTGTTCATTAACTTTTCTTCCTCTAAAACAAAAGTGGAATTAAAAAAATAGGGGCTACCCTTACCAGGAATGTGGATTTTTTAAAAAATATTTTTCAAGGACTATCTGATCAATGAACATGGATTCTTTAGAAGATATTTTTCAAGAACTTTCTGATCAATAAACATGGATTTTTTAGAAAATATTTTTCAAGGACTGTCAGACCAATAAACGGACTATCAGACCCGCAAATGTGGATTTTTTTCAAAATATTTTAAGGACTATCAGACCCACAAATGTGCATTTTTTAGAAATTATTTTAAGGACTATCAGACCCACAAATGTGGATTTTTTAGAAAATATTTTTCAAGAATTATCAGGCCAACAAACGTGGATTTTTTTTAATATTTTTTAAGGACTATCTGACCTAAAAATGTGAATTTTTTAGAATTTTTTTTTGTTCATTGACTTTTCTTCCTCTAAAACAAAAGTGGATTAAAAAAAAAAATTAAGGGCTGCCCTTACCAGGAACGTTGATTTTTTTTAAGGACTACCTTTATCACGAACGTGGATTTTTTTAAAAAATATTTTTCAAGAACTATCGGACCAATAAACGTAGATCTTTTAAAAAATATTTTTCAAGGACTATCAGACCGATAAAGGCGGATTTAAAAAAATATTTCTCAAGGACTGTCATACCAATAAACGTTGATGTTTTAAAAAATATTTTTCAAGGACTATCAGATCAATAAACGTGGATTTTTTAGAAAATATTTTTCAAGAACTATCAGACCAACAAACGTGCATTTTTTTTA